ATACTCTTAAGTGAAATAAATAGGACACACATGTGTAAATACCAAATAGTTTCTCTAGTGTGAGAAACTGAAAGCGTAAATAAGGTTTAAAAGGATTAATAATGAATAATTGATACTTTGAAATGGGAAAAGGTCCAAAGGGGTAGGGGTGGTGGGAGGGGGTGGGGAAACGAAAAATTATGAGAAAAGAAAAAAAAATGGAAACAAATTCTATGTAAATAGGAAAGGGTGCACAGGTAATGGGGGAGAAAAATGAAAACCAAGATATATCATGTACAGGTACAAGCACCCAATGATAAATGTGAACGTATTGTATACCTAAAATGTACCAATAAAAGAATTTAAGCAAAAAATAAAAATAAAAGTAAATAAAAAGGGGGCTCCATATCCTGCACCAGCCCCTGCCAATGATCTCCAGCTGACCTATAACTTATACATTTGATCCCAGTCTTACTACCCCTTCCAAAATATGCCCTTAAGGCCCAGGGATTTAGCTCAGTGGTTTCACTGCCTGCCTCACAAGCATAAGGTCCCAAGTTCAATCCCCAGTTTAAAAAAAAAAAAAAAAAAGTTATCCCAAATGCTACTGACTTCTAGCAGTTACTAAAGCCACAATAACTACTTTTAGTTTCTGTCCACTACTTGTTTATCATGACTATAAAATAAAGCTTAAGCATCAATAACTTGCTAATGTCCTTACTCTCTATCAAAAGATGATGTTTCTAGTATCAGAAATGAAAGAACAGGGTGGGGATATAGCTCTCAGGAATAGTGTGCTTGCCTAGCATGCATGAGACCTGGGGTTTGAGTCCCAATACCATTCAGGAAAAAAAAAAAGGAACCAAAGGATATACTATAGATCTGTAAACATTAAAAGCATAATTAGCTCAGTGGCACTGTACCTTCCTGGCAAGCGCAAGGTCCTGAGTTCAATCCTGGGTAATGAAAACAAAACAAAACACTACAACTAACTCTAGATCTCTATATTCAACAACTTAGATGAAACAGACTAATCGTTGTACAATACAAATAACCAAAGTTCAATGAAGACAAAGACACCTGAACAGGCCTATATTATACTAAGAACATTGAATTTATAGTTAACAACTATCCAAAAAATAGAAAACTGTAAGCCCAGATGACTTTAATGATGAATTCTACCAAATACTTAGGGAAGAAATATCAGTTCTATATAATCTCTTCCAGAAAACGGAAGAGAACAACATTTTGAAACTCATTTTATTTGCCCATTTGTACCAGACAACAAAATCAGATATCTTTAAAAAAAAATCACTTCTTTAAAACATTGTCTTTATGTGTTTCTATCTGTAGAGTTAGCCATTCCTTTTACATGAAATAATGGGAACTGGTATATTTCTTCCCTTGCACTTTTCTAGTTTGTTTCTTTGGGACTATACCAACCCTTATAAGTTCAATTTTTTTTTTTCCAATACTCGGGATCAAACTGAGGGCCTTGCACTTGCCAGGCAGGCATGATGCAACTGAGCTTAATCCCCGGCATAAGTTCAATTTATATGATACCTGTCAACTTAGATTTCCATTTGATTCAAGCCACTTTTGTTCCTCAGGTCCCTTCATCACTTTGGAGTCACTGCATTGCAAACTATTTCATGAATGTTTTAATTGGTCTGATTTTATTAGCCACTCTTAAAATTATAAGGAATGCCCCCAATATTATCTTTCCCTGTGTGGAAAATATAGTCGCTTTCAAAGAGAAACAAGAGGGCATTAAAGTAAACTACCTTCTAATTAGGAATGTGTGACTTTCATTAACTGTTTTCACTGTTAGCTGTAGCTGTTCTGTAAAACTGAACATGTTGATGCCAGGGATGTAGCTCAGTGGCACCACAACTGCCTGGCAAGCACAAGGTCCTGAGTTCAATCCCCGGTAACAGAAAAACAACAACAAAAAAGGTTCTTTCAAAACTAAACATGTTGAGCTGGGTGTGGTGCCACATGCCTGTAATCCCAGCACTGGGGAGGCTGAGGAAGGAGGATTGCTGTTATTTCTAGTTCGAGGCCAGCCTGGGCTACATAGTGAGTTCAGGGCCAGCATGAACTACAAAGGGAGACCCTGCCTCAAAAAAACAAAGAAAGGGCTGGGAATTTAGCTCAGTGGCACCGTGCCTGCCTCATAAGCACAAGGTCCTGAGTTCGATCCCTGGTACTGGGGAAAAAAACCAAACCGAACATGTCCTTTTTATGCAAATGATATTTGTTAATCTAACTTTTATAATATAGTTTATGCAAATCCTTTCAAAGATGGCATTATCTAACCTTTACAGTATGAACAATGTGTGTCTAGGTTACTGTTTATAAAGAGAAGAGACTTGTAATTAAATCAAAATATATAGTAGATTCTAAGTGACCATTATATATTACTTTTAAAATTCTAGGGGCCGGGGATTTAGCTCAGTGGTTTCGCCACCTGCTGGGCAAGCCCAAGGACCCGAGTTCGATATCCAGTACCAAAATAAAAAAAATTTTAAAAATAAAAATAAAAAAAATAAAATTCTAAAGAGTGAAACAGGGCCAGGAATTCAGCTCAGTGGTTTTGCCGCCTGCTGCGCAAGCGCAAGGACCCGAGTTCTATCCCCGATACCAAAAAAAAAAAAAAAAAAGAGTGAAACAGGTTCAGTTATAAGAAGATGCTTGAAAAACAAAGTATCCATTGCAGTGGCTCTAAGTTTTCTTTCATCATTTAATCAATCAGTCATTTTGGATGAATGACATACTTCAATTTTATACTGCTTCCACTTTATTTTGCACAGACATTTAATTAATTATTCCTATGATTTGAAGGGGAACCCTTCTGAATATAGCTTTCAGTGCAGACTAAACAGTTTGTCATGGCAATAAATAATTATGTATTTAAGAAAAAACAAAAAT